TCCTTTCCTCATGAGGAGCACTGCTACTTTTTTCTTTGTGGCTCAGTGGTAGAGACTCAGGTTCAATTCTGCTCAGTGCATCTCACATACAACTACTATCCATCTCTCTGTGAACACTTGCATCTTGTTGTGATGCTGAACAGGTTTCAGTGGCACTCCCAGGCGAATAAAATCTAGGCAAAAAGGCCCATCAATCTACTTCCAAAGATCACGCCATGAAACCCCTGTGGCTCACAATGGTCAGTTAGATACATAACTGATCATGGAGCTAGCATAGCACAGACTCTGGCCACAGTTCTTTCCTTCGTGTCTGGGGTCAGTGTGAGGCAGGTACTAACTGACAGCCACAGCAGTATTTAGGGATGAGTGGCATGGGCGCCAATGGTCTCTTTCCTGCTCTTAATGATGACTCTGCGTGTCAACAATTATGAGTTATACCATCTTTGCCCATTGAAGTATCGAGGATGGTACTGTGAATTCAGACTCTCCAGTATTGTCTTTGTAGGAAGGGACAGACATGGAGTTTGATAGGAAAATCAAAGGCAAAGCAGTTTCACACATGCAATTGAATTTATGAGAGTGGTCTTTGAAATGTTCATGGAGAGTGCATTGATTTCAAGGTTGATGGGTTTTTTTTCTTCACCAAAATAAAGTCAGGTTAACTTCTTACCATGTGTCTGAACAGATTCTGGTTTGAGACAGCAAGAAGGCATGAGGCATCTGTTTGAAAAGGGTCCCTGTGAGAAGCACATGGGTTGTGTGAAATTGAAGGAAGAGCTAACATCCTATTTTTGGTGAAACGTAGCTGGGAGAATGGGGAAAGCATTGGTGCTTTATGAAAGCTATGGAGACACTGCTCGAAAGAAATCAATAGTTTATAAATGGGTAACTCACTTTAGGAAGGGAAGAGATGATGTTGAGGATGGAGCTCACCGAGGCAGATCAACCACATCTACTTTTGAGGCAACAAGCTGGTTCGTGCCCCATTTGAAAGGGATCAGCACTTAACAACCAAAGCAATAGCAAAGCTTTAGGCACCTCATCTGGTCCATCTTGCACAAGTCTGACTGGACTTGATGTGATTTATGTTAAGATGCGGGTTCTACTTGTTATTTTTTATCTTTTAATTCGATTTGTGTGCTCTTTGATCTGAACTCCTTTCCCAAAGCCCTTCAGATGTTTTGGTAAACCATCACTGAGTGTATCTGGGGCAAGACTTTGATGTTGGTACCTAGTGGATGACCCTGACTTGTATGTGCGTTTCCCCCATCCCTGTAGATTTATGCCTACATCTTCGAGCACATCAAGTCCGTCCGGCTGGAAGCCCTGCTCTTATCCTTGTTGAGCATTGTGGTGCTTGTTCTTGTTAAGGAGCTGAATGAACAATTTAAAAGGAAAATTAAAGTTGTTCTTCCTGTCGATTTAGTTTTGGTAAGTAGAAATCAACATTTGGACATTCTTCAGGACAACGTTTGCCAGTTGTTGGGGCAATATTCAAATGTTCACTATATTATCTACAGTAACCCACAGCTAACTCCTGTCTCTCATTAAAGTAGGGCTAATTTGCATGGCTGTACATGAATGTAAGAACAGGAAACATTCTGAGTCAATAATTAAAAAAAGGAGGCACACTTGCTTTCAATTTATACAGCGTTTCTCATATGCTTGAAATTTCTTACATAAATATGAGAATGTATAGTTTAAGATTTTAAATAAGAAGACATTTCGATGGGCGAGACTTTTTAATTTTTGCCATGATCTCCCAGAAAACAATAAAAGGCTCTGTCACATCCTCTTGATGTGGTGCATTGATAATATGCCCAGAAATGTTATCAATTAGTAGATGTCCATTTATGGTTGAGAGCTTTGTTGATTATTGTTACTGATCTAATTTTATTTATATTGAAGGGATATTCAGTTTTCATTGCCCAGGACTGGTTCTCTGAAATATTTTGGTTGTTGTTGTTGAACCTGGCAAAGCAATAAATTATGATTTGCTTTTATGGCTTATTACCTT